TGGGGGGTTTGTGGGGGGCACTGGGGGCCCTAGTGGGTTTGAGGGGGTTGGTGGGCGCGGCCCCGCGGGTACCCTGCAACTTTGGCTGCCGCACTGGATGCAGCAGGGCCTGCTGCGGCATCTGCAGCACGTGCTGCCGGACCAGATGCTGCAACTGCAGGAGGTGTTGCTGAAGCATCAGCTGCGGCATCTGCAATATGTGCTGCTGCAACAGCTACAGCAGGTGATGCTGCAAGTGCTGTTGTAGTGCCAGCACCACCTGTGTCATTATAGGTTACTGCAGCTGCTACAGCAGGTGATGCTGCAAGTGCTGCTGTAGTGGCAGCTCGTAGTGCTGCAGCAGCAGCCCGAGCAGGTGTTGCTGCTACTACAGGAGGGAAAACAAGGAAACAGAACGGGAAAAAAAAAACGAAGAAGAAGAATGGGGGAGGAGGTGGAGGGAAGAGGTGGATGGAGGAGGTGGATGGAGCCTGTGTGAGGGGCACTGGGGGCCCTAGTGGGTTTGAGGGGGTTGGTGGGCGCGGCCCCGCGGGTACCCTGCAAGCATAGGGCCTCGCAAATGAGGTAAATCATGTTGCCCCCTGCCCCAACAGTGGTAGTCAGAGATGGGATGGGGCCGCCGGTGGGGGGCCAGCTAACGCAAAGACCATGCATTTTGCCAGTAGGTGCGCGGCCTGCGCCTCCCATTCTCATCGTCCCCCACCCCTCATCGAGTAGCAGCAAAGGCTATGGGCCTATGGCCAACACTCTCCCACAGGAGTAGGTAGTGAAAGGCAAAAACAATTCTAGAGAAGAACATAGTGTAGTTAAAAAAATAAAAATAAAAAAAATCCTTATTCTGTGTTATGAACTTGGTTGTCTGCCGATTTTTACCGCCACTCACACACAGACCGTCTGATACATGCTAATACATGCACGAGAGAAGGGGAAGAGGAGACAAAGTCCAAACTGCACACAGATCAGAGTACACAGCGGAATTCAACCATGCACAGATGGGGAGAAGAGCTCAGAAGACACGCAGTGTTTCTCACTCTCTGACAAACTCCCGAGTCCCAACAAGTGAACAACCAATCACGAGAAGAACCTGCGAGGATGGCAATTGAAATCACACAGATGATGAGCCACTCAACTAAAACATCGTCACAGAGTTTGTTCCAGTATCTTGCCACTCCCTAAACTCACACCCCACTCTCTATCCTACACCCAGTTAGTAGCGCCACATCAAAACAGCCTCCCTGAGGCTAGCGCCAACCACCGTGATGAAGAACAAATCCTGCGATGAAGTCTTCAGTGTCGATGGACAACTCAGACGAAGTAGCAGGCAGCTATGGCTGCCACAGCCCACGAACACACAGTGTAGAGCCTCGATATAGCCCGGGCATACGGAGATACCGAAGGGTCTGACCTACTAATAGACTGCAGTCTACAGTCACTACAGGCTACAGCTACTCTAGCGTACACGTAGACCGGACTGACAGACTAGTAAAACCGAACGCCACCTAAATACTGAACCCGTGTCGCCACCTGCACCCCGCTGCGAAGGCCTGTATGCAAAAATCACAGACTGAGCTTGCGCCTGTCGATCAATAGGCGGTCACCGACCTGCATCCTGCTTCGAGGGCTCAGACCGGTAATGATACAGTTTGGCTATCACAGACTGAGCCTGCGCCTATCGATCAATAGGCGGTATAGGGTCCGATGGCGTCGCCTGCCCGTGCAGGCCAAGTCCTGTCCTCTGCCTGACGCGTCGACCTCCACCATCATCTCCATCCACCGCCGGGCGCCGGGGCACTTAATCGGAGTCACCTGGATCGCCGGCGCCTGTGGTTTCGCCAGCCTCCGCGGCCGTGGAGCTGTCATCATGGTAGATCACCACATCGCCTCGTCTCTTCTCGACTCGCCCTGAACGGCATTGGACTGTCCCCCTGTCCGCCACTGCCCCACCAGTCGTCGGAATCTGTGTTGGTCGGAGCTCTGGCGTAAAAAGTGGGTGGTGGACGGCGACGGTGAAATGGAATCGATGCACTTGTCCCCTTCTTCCTCGCCTAGGATAACCTCGCAGTCGTCGTCCTCGTGTCGTGGACATCCGTTGTCTTGGCCCGCAAAGGCCTCCCATGTCGCTCCTCGTATGCTCTCATGGAGCCGTGACAACCACCATCGACGCGGCCTATGGATCGCATCCCCGCACGCACATCTGTCAGTCCGCAT